TTGTTTATATTTATTTAAACTCTAAATTGTCCCTGTGTGTGAGTGAGAGAGTGATTGGTTGTTTGTCTCTGTGTCCCTGTGATGTCCTGGAGATCTGTCCAGGCTGTCCCCTGCCTCTTGCAGTTACTGCTGGACATGGGCATCCTGTGACCCAAAAAGGAAAACGCAGGTAAAGATAATGGATGGACGTATGGATGTTATTTATTTAGCAAAAATTGACCATATAAATATGGATAACTGTCTACTGTGTGGCATTTTCAGTGTCTTACACCGCTGCTGAGGAATTTCCTTTCTTTAAAACACTGCTTTAGTTTGTTAAGGTTTGAAGGTATTTTGTTTTATGCTCAACTTTTTGGACTAAATCAGTGTAAAATTGTGACTTATATTTAATTTACCCATTCTGCGGTAGATTTAGAAGATTTGCTTAGAATTCATCCATCCATTATCTTTACGCACTTTTTTCTTTTTGGGTCACAGGGGTCATTGGTACCCATATACAGCCATCACTGTGCGAGAGGTGGGGGACACCCTGGACAGGTCTCCAGTCCATCACAGGGACACATAGAGACAAACGAAACAACCAACCATTCACTCTCACTCACTCCTAAGGGCAATTTAAAGTTACCAATCAGAATCATTTTCATAATTAGTGAGACATTTCTAACCAAGTTTCAGTTATTGAACAGATGGTCTCACGTGTCTGTAGAAAATGTTACGTAGAGATGTTAGTAGTTGGCCCAAAGACTGCAAGCCGCCCAGGTTCTGTGGCTGGAGAACAAGCACAAACCATTAGGTCTACATTACTGTGCTTAATAAATGCTGGAGGTGTTTGTGTTGGTTTAGTTTTGTTGTCTCTTGTCATGGAGAGAAGAGGGGAGTACAGTAGTCCCTCATTTATTGTAGGGGATCCGTACCCTGAAGCCCTGCGATAAGTGGAAAACTGCGAAGTAGGAATAGTAGTAAAAGTAGTAAGTAGTAGTTTATTTTAGTATATATATATATATATATATA